CTTCGAGCGCTACACGGAGGAGGATTCTACTCCTTCGTCCAAACAAAACCACGCAAAGCTCTAGGTTCAGTTTCCATTTTCACAGCTGCTGTTAAATGCAGCACTTCCTGGTTCTAGTCAGGACTAATGTGGTCATACTTCCTGGTTCTAGTCAGGACTAATGTGGTCGTACTTCCTGGTTCTAGTCAGGACTAATATGATCATCCTTCCTGGTTCTAGTCAGGACTAATGTGGTCGTACTTCCTGGTTCTAGTCAGGACTAATGTGGTCGTACTTCCTGGTTCTAGTCAGGACTAATGTGGTCGCACTTCCTGGGTCTAGTCAGGACTAATGTAGTCGTACTTCCTGGTTCTACTCAGGACTAATGTGGTCGTACTTCCTGGTTCTAGTCAGGACTAATATGATCATCCTTCCTGGTTCTAGTCAGGACTAATGTGGTCGCACTTCCTGGGTCTAGTCAGGACTAATGTGGTCGTACTTCCTGGTTCTACTCAGGACTAATGTGGTCGTACTTCCTGGTTCTAGTCAGGACTCGAGCTGCTGCATTTTGAATGTACTGCAGCTGTTTTACAGCCTGTTTGGACAGACCTGTGAGCAGGCCATTGCAGTAGTCTAACCTACTGGAGACAAATGCATGGATAAGAATCTCCAAGTCTGCTTTAGACACTATGTTTTTGATCCTGGCAATGTTTTTTAGATGGTAAAAAGCTGCTGATGTTACTGATTTGATGTGGCTATTAAAATTTAAGTCTGAGTCCAGTATTACCCCTAGATTTCTGACCTTGTTTGAAGGTTTTAGGGAGAGAGACTGTAGATGACAGATGACGCTCTCTCTTTGTTTCTGGGGACCAAAGACAATCATTTCAGTTTTGTCTGCGTTTAGCTGAAGGAAGTTGTTTTGCATCCACTCACTGATCTGTTGGATACAGTGAAGGAGTGAGTCCACTGGTCCATGTTCTCCTGCAGTCAGTGAGACATAGATCTGAGTGTCGTCTGCGTAATTGTGGTAGGATACATTGCTAGTTCATATTAACTGACCTAACGGCAGCATGTAGAGATTGAACAGAAGAGGTCCCAGGATCGACCCCTGTGGTACTCCACAGGTCAGGGCCATATGATCTGAGACACAGTTTCCAATCTCAATCAACTACTGTATTTCCTGTCTTCTAGGTAAGACCTAAACCAACTTAGGGCAGTCCCAGCAACACCAACCCAGTGGTCTAGCCTCTGTAAGAGGATCTCATGGTCGACTGTGTCGAACGCAGCACTCAGATCCAGCATGACTAAAATTGTGACTTTTCCTGTGTCGGTGTTAAGTCGGATGTCGTTTGTAACCTTCACTAGTGCAGTCTCAGCACTGTGGTGGGCTCTAAAGCCGGACTGGAGCGCATTAAAAGAGCTATTAGTTACTAAAAATTCTGTAAGTTGTTGGTAAGCAACTTTTTCAAGAATTTTTCCCATGAACGGCAGATCTGAAATGGGCCAGTGGGAAATGGGCTTAAGAACCGTGGCATCTAGACTCCTCTTTTTAAGGAGGGGTCTGATGACTGCCGTTTTCAGAGCCATAGGAAATGTTCCAGATAAAAGAGCATGAGCGAAGGTAACAGACTGCTCAGAACAGACTTTGGTGGGTAGTACATCCAGGCTGCATGTGGAGGAACTCGGACAAGAGATAATATCTTGGACAGTTTCATTATCTATTGGTGCAAAGCGAGTTAGCTCAAAAAGCCTCACTGGCTGTTGGAATTTTATTTCTGCTTTGAAGGTGATGGCGTTTTTGATGCTCTGAACCTTGTCATTGAAAAACTGCAAACTCATTACATTTAGATTCTGAGGTAAATTCTAATGGCAGCTGAACAGGGGGGTTTGTTAATCTGTTAACTGTTGAAAACAGAAGTCGTAGATCATTACAGCAGCCATCAATGATTTTAGAAAAATGCATTTCTCTTGTTCTACGTAGCACCCTGTTAAACTTGCACAGCTCATTTTGAAGATCTCATGATCAACTTCCGCTCGGTCCTCCGGCACTCTCTCTTCTGTGCCATGACTGAGTCCAATTTAGTCCAGGGGGCTTTTTTCTTTTTTGTAATCATTCTAACCTTCACAGGAGCGATGATGTCATGAACATTTGGAACATTGGAGGTGACAGAGTTAAACAATTCCTCAACAGTAGAGCACAATGTGTCCTCAAAGTTTATCATTCCCATGAATAATTCGGTTGTGTTTTCATTTATGTGTCGTCTTCTGACAATTGCAGTTTCAAATTCATATGGGGGTTTACCATCAAAACACATGTCAAAAAATACACAGAAGTGATCTGACAGAGCCACGTCAACCACATTTACATTTAGAATATTCATCCCCTTAGTAACTAACAGGTCTAGAGTGTGCCCTCTGCTGTGGGTGGGGCCACTCACGTGCTGAGTGAGAGCAAATGTTTCAAGTACCAAACTCAGCTCATTTGCATTTCTGTCATTAACATTCCCCACATGAATATTAAAATCCCCTGTAATCAAAATCTGTGCATACAACTGAAAGCAACTCGGTAAAATTATCAATAAAACTGTGACATGACTGCGGTGGCTTGTATAGGACAACGATAATAATAGAACTACTACTACTACTACTACTACATGTGTAGTACGAGGGCCCCGTCCCAATACTCGCACTTCCACCCTCGCGAGTGCGTAGGGCGTCCCAATTCTTCAGGGAGGTCTTTGGCCCCGCCCCCTTTGCGCCCCTGATCCACACTTCGCCGTAGCCTGCATCTATGGGCACTCTGGCGAAGGATATTGCCCATAATTCTTTGCGGTACACACCAAAACGTCGGGAAAATGCATTTAAATATACATTTTGAAATATTTAGTGCAGTATGTGCGTAAATAAGTTTTGCTGTTACTTGGAAAGAAGCATAAACGTTCATTTTGTTTCCCAAAGGGTCAGACAAAATGACCTTTAATGTTTATAAAGTTTAGGTCTGAAAATGACCATCTCTGACGAGTCGATGACGTCACCTGCTCTCAGTGTGCACTGTCCCAATTCTGCCTTTTGTGCACACTTGTAACCTGCGCACTCCAACCATGTGTGCGCTCCAACCATGTGTGCACTTCAAAACAAATGCATACTTCGTAGAGGTGTGTAGGGTGCAGTGGGTGTTGGGACGGGGCCTTGGATGCTGACTCGTCTGTAGAAAACTCGCCTCAGGATCATAGTTGCCCTTCGACCTCACTGTTTGATTGACAGCTCTGATGTCCTGTAGGGAATCCCTGGACTGAGAGGAGAGGCGGGACTACCGGGACCGAAGGGGCTGAGAGGAGATCCGGTGAGGAGTGCGTGTGTGTCTGTCTGCGTGTATGTGTGTGTGCCTGTGTCTCTTTGTGTGCGTCTGTGTCTGTGTTTAAAGCTGTGGTGTGTGTTTGTGTATGTGTGTGTGCCTGTGTCTCTTTGTGTGCGTCTGTGTCTGTGTTTAAAGCTATGGTGTGTGTGTGTGTTTGTGTATGTGTGTGTGCCTGTGTCTCTTTGTGTGCGTCTGTGTCTGTGTTTAAAGCTATGGTGTGTGTGTTTGTGTGTGTGAGTCTGAGTGTTTAAAGCTGGGATGTGTAACATATGTGTGTGTTTAAAGGGCCCCTCTGGAGATGACAACACGATCCCAGGACCCAAAGGCGACGCTGGAAACCCAGGATTACCGGTGACACCTATTCACACCTGAACAATATGTTTATTTAAAGTTTCAGTATGTAATATTTGCATGTCAAGACATCATTAAATGGCCCCAATATTTCAAAAGGCGTTATTAAATCATGCTCTTTTCGAATACATCTTAAACTGATAAAAGTAGTTCAGCCAAGATATTTGAAAATCAAAATTATTTTTACGACCCGTAAAAATAGTTATAGTTTTCATTTAGAGGTCCTACCCTCCGCTGTTTTACCAGTCAGGAAGTGAGTGATCCGGGGTGCCAGAACTCCTCGCGAAATCATTGATGACAAAACAAAGACTAAAACGAGGATTTATATCGGGACGCCTTTGAAAAATTGAGACAGCGGATAAAAGATTTTGTGTGATGCAAAACTTGGTGGATTGAGGCCGTTTTACTTCACATCTTTAACCGTGCGTAATGGTGGTCTAGTGGTTAAGTCACTTAGTTCCCACTAAACATCCGACGTCCACTCAACCTCCAGATCACGTCAATATCGCGTCGGTCGGTCGTGACCTTTTATTTACGTCCAAACGACGTCTGTGCAAGGTGCGCATCTGGACGTAAAACAATGACCTCCCATATACGTGGATATGACGTTCAATCCCGACCTCCCTTAGACGTCGAAAACAGGTCATCGGCCGACCGACGCAGTACGTCTTGATCTAGCAATACAATATATAGGCTGTGAAGCAACATAAGTGTACCTGACGGTAGTGTAGTGGTTAAGCAAATGTGTGCAGCCTTGGTTACGTGGGTTCGAGCCCACGTGTGTGTATTATTATCTTTACATATTTGTTTTGATTTTTAAAGAACTATTTTTTTCTGTTTGGTTAAAGACTAATAAACACTCTACATAGGATTACGTAGTGGCTAATAATAAAACTTGTGAATGTATGCATTTGTTGTGCTAACAATCTCAAGTTTGCAAATAAGGGGTGAGCACTTGAGATTTTATGCAAATGCATGGGTTCACAAGTTTTATTATTAGCCACTACATAATCTTGTGTTTATTCGTTTTTAACCAAACAGAAAAATTGTTCGCTAAAAAGTGAAAAGTCAAAAGTTTTCCGACGGGGATTTGAACCCGCGTCATTGCGACTGAAGTCTCATTACGCAACCGCTACACCACGGCCAGGCATTATCTCTGACTACTGTGAAAAAATAATAGATAACAGCCTAAACAACTGACGCACACTTATGCGCCGCGCGAGTATAACTTATTAGGCTTTACAGCCTGACACGTGAGTCGCTCGGTCGAGGACCTGTTTTCCACGTCTAAACGACGTAAGGTGTGCATCTGGACGTAAAGCAATGCCTTCCCAGACGTTGATATATGACGTTGAATCTGTACCTCTGTCGCTGCCCTGCTTTATTTACTTGGAATCATCCTCTCTAGTAAGTACACAGTCTGCACAGTTTTTAGATATAGATGTATCATTTCCACATTGAAAAGAGTTGGAGACAGAAAGTAAGTTGTTTTCTCACGTATACGTGGATTTTGTTAAGTATATTTTGTATATTATCTGTATTTTGAATTGCCAGTGCATGAATCTATAATAATAACGGCTGGCACTGCTCAGCTGAAAGGGAGACATCTTTTTTTAGTTTTTAAGTTAAAGTTTAAAATATGATATTGTTTTCATATTTCAAACTATTTTTAACACATTAGAATTCTTAGGTTAGACTGTCCAACAAACTATGTGTTAAAAAAGGTTAAGATTCTTGAGTTTTAAAATAATAATTCAATTCTAAAATGTAAAGTTACTGTATATTTCACAATGGTTTATAAACTGCAAAAAGACAACAGTACTTAGTAAACTAAGTTTAAAAACAGGGAGATCAGCTTTAATATTTGGGACACTCCCATCATTTAGACACCTGTGATGTCATCAGTTGGAGTTGAGTTCAGGTGTGGGACCATGTGGGACCATGTGGGACCATAGGAGCACACAGATGTTACCTGCTGCAGAAAGAGAGTTTAATGTTCATGTATTGCTTTGTTTAATAAATGGATTTAATGTCTTCCCAGGTCTTCAATGTCAGAGACTTTCACTTCTTCTCACTGTGGCTGTTTAAATGAGCCACTACAGTTGTTATTTTTGTTATTGTTAGCTGCAAATATTAAATATCCATTCATCTGCTGGTAGCAAGCTAACTAGCGCTTGCAACTCTTCAATTTCTTACTTTTTCTTATAAACTTTAAAACCAGCCATATGTTAATTAAAATACATTTACCTTTGCTAATGCAGTCAATTATTGTGAAATTCATAGAGTATAATTTCATGATTGTTACAATAACTAATGTTCTGTGTGTATTCCTAATGTGTCATGTGTGTTTCAGTCTTACAGGTGTCAGACTGTGTTGAAGGTGTTCAAAGGTAAGAATCACACTCTCACACATTGATTGTTCTTCTGTATTAATATGTTGTTTTTAGAATAAACCATTATTTGGTGTATTCTCTTTGAAAACATCTATCTTTTTCTCAGATTGTTCAGCAACTCACTCAAGATGAGGGAAAAGAGCAACAAGGGGAAAATGCCCCCTCGGAAATGCAACATGTATAGAGTAATACAGGGTAAGTAGCTTTCAGGGCTCATTTGTGTCCATGTGCAAAACAAATGCACATTTGCAATTGTTTTTTACATGGAATTACTCCAATGACCAAAGCCTTATCCCAAGTTTCTCAGACGGAGTGTCTTCCAGTGTCTCGAGCTAGTGCAGTGCCAAGGTTTGTATCACATGGTGATGGATCGAGTGGTTTGAGGCATTAATAGAAAGTTATGTGCTGTTATATCACTTTGCCACATTATGTTGAAACTAAACATGTTCCACATTTTCAGGTGCTGTGCTTGGACCTTGTGATGAGAGACTGAAGACCAAGAGAGGACACATGTTGGAACCTCAACATTCAATAAATGCATTCTTCTGCCTTTCAGATTGTGTTTTTACATCTGGGGAACCTAGAGTGTAGCTTGTGCCTGTTTTAATACTGATCCAAACATAGGCGCTACAATCATGTTTTTTTACTTTGGCATGAACTGTTCAGTACAGTAGTGTTCATAACACTGTGTGGTTTAACTTGTACTTTGATGTAGAGAAACATGATTTTTAATGCAGCTCCATTTGCAATAATGACTGATATCCTTCTACTACAGTTGTTATAATGATTTTTGAATGCTGTGTTTATCGTTTATTGCCCAGAGTCAGAACTAAACATGATAAAGCTGCATTTCAGATTCACAAGGCTAAAATCTGGAACGGTCTTCCTGGAAATATGAGACAGGCTTCTTCTTTGACAATGTTAAAATCCAGGTTTAAAACACTTCTGTTTCTGCTTCAACTGAGAGATTTTATGAGAGATTTTATTTGTATCTTTTTAATTTACTGTCAATATTTATAATTGTAATGCCTTGTTTGATTGTTTCTATCTTTTGTTCAGTGCTTTGAGTTTCCTTTTGTTTTGACTGTGCTATACAAATAAACTTGCCTTGCCTATTGCAAAAAGTATGTCTTGACTATTAAGTCATTCTGCAGAGGTCAATAGGACTGTGAATGGACGTCATATAAACGTCAATATTTTGGTCATATAAGACGTCGAGAGGACGTCGGACCCGACCGGTTCTGTACCACATTGCAACCTTGAATGAAGTGGCCGCGACGTCATTTGAACGTCCAGATGACGTTGAAATGACATAGTTTTGACATCTGCTTGCTTAGTGGGAACAACGGAAAACGAACGTCATATGAAGGCAATATTTTGGTCATATAAGACGTTGATAGGACGTCGGACCCGACCGGTTCTGAACCACATTGCAACCTTGAATGAACGTCCAGATGACGTTGAAATGACATAGTTTTGACATCTGCTTGCTTAGTGGGAACGACTGAAAACGAACGTCATATAAACGTCAATATTTTGGTCATATGAGACGTTGATAGGACGTCAGACCCGACCGGTTCCGTACCACATTCAAACCTTGAATTGACGTGCCATCAACGTAACATTTGGAGGTTGAGGTGACGTCGGGAAACGACGTCGAGAAAACTTTCATTCTGCACCCACCAGTGACCTATATTCTACGTCGGACAACGACGTTCAAATTACGTTGATTCAACGTCGGCTTGCTTAGTGGGTTTTTGTTCCAGTGACCCGGGTTCGAGTCCAGGCTTTTGTTTATTTACTTAATTTTACATTTTATGACAGATTGCTCAAAATCAGGTAAAAGACAATAATCAAGACGTTTTTTGCAGATTATAGCTTATTTGTGAAAATAATCATTTGAGACCACATGTACCCAATTAAAATAATGTTAGTCTCTGTTTGATGTGGGACTTGAACATGTCTAAAAAACAGGGAATAAATAAAATGTAAGGGTGACATCCTCTGGAGCAAACCCTGATGTTGATACGCTGCAGAAATACGCTCCAACATCCATTCTTCCCACTCCTATCTTGGACATCAATTGCTTATTTATTTTGCATAATCTATGTATAATTAAATTTATTTTATTTTGCTTTTCTCATCTCAAATGTCCAAATAAATAAATTAAAAAAAACATTCATTCAACATTAGCACGGCTCATGACAATGTGGGAGACAGACAACTGATAAAATAATTCCCTGTGTTTGCTGCTGGATTTGGTGAGTATCTGGCAACCCGAGTCAGGGAGAGTGGGAGAGGACTACACAATATTGACTGTGACTGCAGTACCACTTTTGGCCAGATTTGTACATACTGCTCCTTTAAGAGCTTCTGTTAGCTTTGTGATTGTGACACACTGTTGTATTAGATGTAGTATACTGTGCAGCGCTTTGGGCAGCGATTGTTGTTGTAATTGTAAACTTAACTTGACATTGACATTTGTATTGCTCGCCATGCTAACCAGGCTAACCGGATACAGCCTGTTAGCATAGCATAGCTCACCATGGTAACCAGGCTAACCGGCTCTTGTATAAAGTGGTTTTTACGCTGTTTTAAATCTATTTTTAACTTTTATAACTTTTCTGCACCATGAGCCTGTTACTTACAAAAGCAATACAAAATATTCTTATTTCAAACCTGTTAGCCTAGCATAGCTTACCACGCTAAAGCCAGTGACCTCTGACCTCAGGGCGCTCAAGGAGGAGAAGGACCAGCTGGAGAAACGGGGGTCGTAGGGAACAGAGTGAGAAACAGACACACACATGCACATATATACTTACACACACATACACACACACACATACTGACTCATATACACACAAACATACACATACAGACACACACACACACATACTGACTCATATACACACAGACATACACATACAGACACACACACACACACACACTGACTCATATACACACAGACATACACACACACACACACATACTGACTCATATACACACAGACATACACACACACACACATACTGACTCATATACACACATACATACACATACAGACACACACACACGCACACACACACACTGACTCATATACACACAGACATACACACACAGACATACACACACACACACACTGACTCATATACACACAGACATACACACACAGACATACACACACACTGACTCATATACACACAGACATACACATACAGACACATACACACTGACTCATATACACACACACAGACTCATATACACACAGACATACACACACACACACACACTGACTCATATACACACAGACATACATACACACACACACACTGACTCATATACACACAGACATACACACACACACACACTGACTCATATACACATATGGACACACACACAGACTGGACCCTAACCACTCTCATTTTTTTAGGGCGCTGACGGCAGACGAGGAGCTCCTGGAGAAAAGGTGAAATCATCACTATGACCTCATCACTGTGACCTCATCACTGTGACATCATCACCCTGACATTACTGTGACATCATCACTGTGACATCATGTTAATGCTGGTTCACCAGGTTTCCTTAAACAGTCGTCCGATGAAAGGAAGGAAATTACGAACTTAGATAGATATAAAAGAAGGTTTAATATATAAAACAGAATACATATAAAAGACAGGCAGAGAGAGAGCCCGGGTCTGCTGCGGACGACAGGCAAAGCAAAAAGACAAAGACTGGAAGTTACGCCTCACCTCTTATACCAAAGTTCTAAAACACACATGTGACCATTTGGTGACAATTATGACCTATCGAACTCTAGGTGAGAAAACCAATCTCCTCTCATCAGTCAGGAGTCTTCTTGTCACAACACAGATGTCTTCTCGCTTCATGCTTTGTTTTCTCTGCTCTTGTTTACTTATGCTCTTTCACTCTTGCCTGGGGGCTGCATTCTCGCCACGCTCAATGCATTAGCTGGTTAACTTGACTAGTACTACCCTAATCTACACACATTTATTAATATGATAATACACATAACATTTCTTAACACATCACCGATCTGCCTCATGTTAAATCATCTCTTTTATTGTTCACAGGGATCAACAGGAGCTCCAGGGAATAGTGGATTACCAGGGACCCCAGGGGCCTCCGGAGCACAGGTACATGTCCCAGTATACAGAACATGTTTCAGTATGTCTCAGTTTGTCTCAGTATAAATGTCTCAATTTGTCTCAGTATACATGTCTCAGTATGTCTCAGTATACATGTCTCAGTATGTCTCAGTATACATGTCTCAGTATATATGTCTCAGTATGTCTCAGTATACATGTCTCAGTATGTCTCAGTATACATGTCTCAGTATGTCTCAGTATACATGTCTGAGTATGTCTCAGTATGTCTCAGTATACATGTCTCAGTATGTCTCAGTATACATGTCTCAGTATGTCTCAGTATATATGTCTCAGTATGTCTCAGTATACATGTTTCAGTATGTCTCAGTATACATGTCTCAGTACACATGTCTCAGTATGTCTCAGTATACATGTCTGAGTATGTCTCAGTATGTCTCAGTATACATGTCTCAGTATGTCTCAGTACGTCTCAATATACATGTCTCAGTATGTCTCAGTATACATGTCTCAGTTTGTCTCAGTATGTCTCAATATACATGTCTCAGTATGTCTCAGTATACATGTCTCAGTATGTCTCAATATACATGTCTCAGTTTGTCTCAGTATGTCTCAGTATGTCTCAATATACATGTCTCAGTATGTCTCAGTATACATGTCTCAGTTTGTCTATTTGTCTCAGTTTGTCTATTTATCTCAGTATACATGTCTCAGTATACATGTCTCAGTTTGTCTCAGTACACATGTCTCAGTATGTCTCAGTATACATGTCTGAGTATGTCTCAGTATACATGTCTCAGTATGTCTCAGTACGTCTCAATATACATGTCTCAGTATGTCTCAGTATACATGTCTCAGTTTGTCTCAGTATGTCTCAATATACATGTCTCAGTATGTCTCAGTATACATGTCTCAGTATGTCTCAGTATACATGTCTCAGTATACATGTCTCAGTATGTCTCAGTATACATGTCTCAGTATGTCTCAATATACATGTCTCAGTTTGTCTCAGTATGTCTCAGTATGTCTCAGTATGTCTCAGTATACATGTCTCAGTTTGTCTATTTGTCTCAGTATACATGTCTCAGTTTGTCTCAGTATACATGTCTCAGTATGTCTCAGTTTGTCTCAGTATACATGTCTCAGTTTGTCTCAGTATACATATCTCAGTATACATGTCTCAGTTTGTCTCAGTTTGTCTCAGTATACATGTCTCAGTTTGTCTCAGTATACATGTCTCAGTATGTCTCAGTTTGTCTCGGTATGTCTCAGTTTGTCTCAGTATACATGTCTCAGTTTGTCTCAGTATGTCTCAGTTTGTCTCAGTATGTCTCAGTATACATGTCTCAGTTTGTCTCAGTATACATGTCTCAGTATGTCTCAGTTTGTCTCAGTATACATGTCTCACATGTCTCAGTATACATGTCTCACATGTCTCAGTATACATGTCTCAGTATACATATCTCAGTATACTTGTCTCAGTATACATATCTCAGTATACATGTCTCACATGTCTCAGTATGTCTCAGTATACATGCCTCAGTTTAAATGTCTCTGCAGGGGCCCAGAGGAGTCCGGGGTCAGCCGGGGCCTTCAGGACCACAGGGTCTGCCTGGAGCTCAGGTGAGTCACAGCCACAGCTGCCCTGGGGCAGCCTCCCAGACTCATGACCACGGGGATATCAGAAGTAGACTGTAGTACTACTACTGCAGAATTGGTACTGTAGTGTTAGTACCCAAGTAGAAGTACTATTGTTGAAGTACTACAGTAGTAGTAGTTGTGACTCTGATCTGTGAAAGGCGGTATATAAATAAAGATTACTTACTAGTAGGAGTAACACTATAGTACTAGTAGGAGTAACACTATAGTACTCGTAGGAGTAACACTATAATACTAGTAGGAGTAACACTATAGTACTAGTAGGAGTAACACTATAGTACTAGTAGGAGTAACACTATAGTACTCGTAGGAGTAACACTATAGTACTAGAAGGAGTAACACTATAGTACTAGTAGGAGTAACACTATAGTACTAGTAGGAGTAAGATAAGATAAGATAAACCTTTATTAGTCTCACAGTGGAGAAATTTCAGTGTCATCGTTGCACATTACAGCAGAGAAAGGAAATAAGAGCACTCAGATTGCACACATCAAAGTCTATTATTTAAGATAATAGACAATAAATTTAAGATAAAATAAAATAAAATAAGAAAATCTGGGCTACAATTGCACTTGGTTCGGAGTATTTACAGATGTGGCAGCGGAAAATATGAGAATATGAGCAGAATAAGCATCAGAAATAATATCAACAGGTAAAGTGACTTGAATGGGAGAATTATCAGATGGATATGAATAATACAGTAAGATATCAACAGGTAAAGTGACGGTGGAAGGCAGAATTATCAGATATGAAATAATACAGTAGTACTGATAACAGTAAATATCAGATATGTAGTACTGTAGTAGTACTGATAACAGGTAAAGTGACTAGTGACAAAGTTACTAGTGAATTATCAGAAACACTTGTGCTATACTAGTACTACTGTCACAGCTGAAGGCCTCATGTTGCAGGGAGCCCCAGGAACTGCCGGAGGTCCAGGTCTGAGCGGAAGGAGAGGAGCCAACGGACAGAAGGTGAACATACAATGAAACTGAACCAGACTGAACCAGATCAGACTGAACTAAACCAGGCCCTGGTCTAGGACTTGACTGATGAGATGAAGTAAAACTTTGTTCTGCTTTCAGGGTCAACCAGGAGAACCAGGGGAGCAGGGAGAGGGTGGCACCCAGGGGCCCCGAGGCCCCCCGGTAAGTCCTGCTTTAGACCTGCTTTAGACCTGCTTTAGTCCTGCTTCAGACCTGCTTTAGTCCTGCTTTAGACCTGCTTTAGTCCTGCTTTAGACCTGCTTTAGACCTGCTTTAGATCTGCTTTAGACCTGCTTTAGTCCTGCTTTAGTCCTACTTTAGACCTGCTTTAGACCTGCTTTAGTCCTGCTTTAGATCTGCTTTAGTCCTGCTTTAGACCTGCTTTAGACCTGCTTTAGTCCTGCTTTAGACCTGCTTTAGTCCTGCTTTAGTCCTGCTTTAGACCTGCTTTAGACCTGCTTTAGTCCTGCTTTAGTCCTGCTTTAGACCTGCTTTAGTCCTGCTTTAGACCTGCTTTAGACCTGCTTTAGACCTGCTTTAGACCTGCTTTAGACCTACTTTAGACCTGCTTTAGTCCTGCTTTAGACCTGCTTTAGTCCTGCTTTAGACCTGCTTTAGTCCTGCTTTAGTCCTACATTTAGTCCTGCTTTAGTCCTGCTTTAGTCCTGCTTTAGACCTGCTTTAGACCTGCTTTAGACCTGCTTTAGTCCTGCTTTAGACCTGCTTTAGACCTGCTTTAGACCTGCTTTAGACCTGCTTTAGATCCAGTTCCGATCTGGCTTGTGTCTCCAGGGCGTGGACGGCAGAGACGGGTATGGACCCCCAGGACCTCCCGGACCAAAGGTGCAGATACAAATGACATCATCGCATTATGAGATCATCATGTTCTTATATCATCTGAATCTGTGAACTGTGTTTGTGTCGTAGGGAAATCGAGGCTTCCCCGGACCTCAGGGACTAGCAGTGAGTCCCAGACCGGAGAGAGACCAGAGAGACAGAGAGAGACCAGAGAGACAGAGAGAGACCAGAGAGAGACCAGAGAGAGACTAGAGAGACTAGAAAGAGACCAGAGAGAGACCAGAGAGAGACCAGAGAGAGACCAGAAAGAGACCAGAGAGAGACCAGAGAGAGACCAGAGAGAGACCAGACACCAGGCCTCAGACCCAGCCGGTCTCTGGAATGTGGAGGACTCCGTCAAGTCTCCACTTTCACTGATAAGAATCCTGGTTTGTTTCTGTTTTCCTTCAGGGAGAAGACGGTCTGCAGGGTCCTAAAGGATTCTCCGGACGCCAAGGAAACCGCGGCCGAGGGGTGGGTCTAGACTGGGACTGGGCTAGTCCTCAATGGATCTGGGTTAGGTCTGGTTTAGTCCTGGTTTAGACCTTGTTTAGACTTGGTTTAGACCTGGTTTAGTCCTGGGTTAGACCTGGTTTAGTCCTGGGTTGGACCTGGTTTAACTCTGTCTCTGCAGGGGAACTCCGGAGTGGTCGGCGGAGAGGGCAGTCCTGGAGAACCGGGCTTCCCTGGACACAAGGTCTGAGTCCACAAAAACACACACTTTACACTGAAAACATACAGCTGCATAAGTCACCACTGGCCTTTTGTCTGCATCATCTGTGAACACATCGACAGAACCATCACAGTCCTTCAGTCTGTAACCTGTATCTTTCATCTCAGGGGCCTCGGGGACCGGCGGGTCAGCGGCTGAACGTGAGTGTTACTGACGTGTTACTGACGTGTCACTGACGTGTTACTGACGTGTTACTTACATGTTACTGACGTGGTACTGACGTGTTACTGACGTGTTACTGACGTGGTACTGACGTGTTACTGACGTGTTACTGACGTGTTACTGACGTGTCACTGAAGTGTCACTGACGTGTTACTGAGGTGTTACTGACATTGTACTGACATGTTACTGACGTGTTACTGACATGTTACTGACGTGTTACTGACGTGTTACTGATGTTTTACTGATGTGTCACTGACGTGTGACTGACATGTTACTGACGTGTTAAGGCGCGTTCAGACCAAAAGCTTCAAAAAGCTAGTTCGGTAAAGTTAGCTTGATATTCACAGATTCGGACTTCCGCGGTGAATATCTTACGAAAGCTACGTTGTTAAACGAAAGTAATTGTGCCAAAATGATCACCTCTACATGGGCTAACTACTACAACATCGATTTTTCTAATCCAATGCGCTGTTTTAATGCAGAGAAATCCATTGAATCCAATGCGCCGCAAGTGCCGAGAAAAGCACTTAGGGAGCGTCAACAAATGCCAATACCAGCTGTGTAAACGAACAATAGTTTTTATTTTAAGCCAAGTACACGCACTAAACTCTCAAATACTATAAATAGCTACCATATCTAACTACTACAACCTTTGTTTTCAGCATTTGTTTCTTTTTTGTATTTTTTATGAATAAATAGGATTTAATATGAATATGAATTTTGAATAACTTTTTTTCAAAGAGGGGCGTGGTCACCAAATTCTCAGGTATGATCAATAACTGCCATATCTAACTACTACAACTTTTGTTTTCAGCAGAAATATCTTTTTTATATTTTTTATGATTAAATATGAATATGATTTTTGAATAACTTTTTTTCAAAAAGGGGCGTGGTCACCAAATTCTCAGGTATCATCAATAACTGCCATATCTAACTACTACAACTTTTGTTTTCAGCAGAAATATCTTTTTTATATTTTTATGATTAAATATGATGAAATATGACTACAAATCTTGAATAACTTTTTTTCAAAAAGGGGCGTGGTCACCAAATTCTCAGGTATCATCAATAACTGCCATATCTAACTACTACAACTTTTGTTTTCAGAAGAAATATCTTTTTTATATTTTTTATGATTAAATATGAATATGATTTTTGAATAACTTTTTTTCAAAAAGGGGCGTGGTCACCAAATTCTCAGGTATCATCAATAACTGCCATATCTAACTACTACAACTTTTGTTTTCAGCAGAAATATCTTTTTTATATTTTTACGATTAAATATGATGAAATATGACTACAAATCTTGAATAACTTTTTTTCAAAAAGGGGCGTGGTCACCAAATTCTCAGGTATAACCAATAACTGCCATATCTAACTACTACAACTTTTGTTTTCAGAAGAAATATCTTTTTTATATTTTTTATGATTAAATATGAATATGATTTTTGAATAACTTTTTTTCAAAAAGGGGCGTGGTCACCAAATTCTCAGGTATCATCAATAACTGCCATATCTAACTACTACAACTTTTGTTTTCAGCAGAAATATCTTTTTTATATTTTTATGATTAAATATGATGAAATATGACTACAAATCTTGAATAACTTTTTTTCAAAAAGGGGCGTGGTCACCAAATTCTCAGGTATGATCAATAACTGCCATATCTAACTACTACAACTTTTGTTTTCAGCAGAAATATCTTTTTTATATTTTTTATGATTAAATATGAATATGATTTTTGAATAACTTTTTTCAAAAAGGGGCGTGGTCACCAAATTCTCAGGTATCATCAATAACTGCCATATCTAACTACTACAACTTTTGTTTTCAGCAGAAATATCTTTTTTATATTTTTATGATTAAATATGATGAAATATGACTACAAATCTTGAATAACTTTTTTTCAAATAGGGGCGTGGTCACCAAATTCTCAGGTATCATCAATAACTGCCATATCTAACTACTACAACTTTTGTTTTCAGCAGAAATATCTTTTTTATATTTTTATGATTAAATATGATGAAATATGACTACAAATCTTGAATAACTTTTTTTCAAAAAGGGGCGTGGTCACCAAATTCTCAGGTATCATCAATAACTGCCATATCTAACTACTACAACTTTTGTTTTCAGAAGAAATATCTTTTTTATATTTTTTATGATTAAATATGAATATGATTTTTGAATAACTTTTTTTCAAAAAGGGGCGTGGTCACCAAATTCTCAGGTATCATCAATAACTGCCATATCTAACTACTACAACTTTTGTTTTCAGCAGAAATATCTTTTTTATATTTTTATGATTAAATATGATGAAATATGACTACAAATCTTGAATAACTTTTTTTCAAAAAGGGGCGTGGTCACCAAATTCTCAGGTATAACCAATAACTGCCATATCTAACTACTACAACTTTTGTTTTCAGAAGAAATATCTTTTTTATATTTTTTATGATTAAATATGAATATGATTTTTGAATAACTTTTTTTCAAAAAGGGGCGTGGTCACCAAATTCTCAGGTATCATCAATAACTGCCATATCTAACTACTACAACTTTTGTTTTCAGCAGAAATATCTTTTTTATATTTTTATGATTAAATATGATGAAATATGACTACAAATCTTGAATAACTTTTTTTCAAAAAGGGGCGTGGTCACCAAATTCTCAGGTATCATCAATAACTGCCATATCTAACTACTACAACCTTTGTTTTTTGTATTTTTCTCTTTATATTTTTTGTGATGAAATATGACTACAAATCTTGAATAACTTTTTTTCTAAAAGGGGCGTGGTCACCAAATTCTCAGGTATGATCAATAACTACAATATCTAACTACTACAACCTTTGTTTTTAGCAGAAATACCTTTTTTCATATTTTTTATGATTGAATCTTCAATGGCTTTTTATAAATGGAGAAGAGTCCTTTACGAGGGTTAACAGGAGTATGAATTAGACAGACTCTAATGTTTTAAAACATTTATTAAAGATTGATTTGTATGTGAAGGTGCGGACCTGTAAAGGAAAAGAGTGTGAGTTAAGGAAAATGAATAAATGTACAACATTTAAATATACTTATCTTTTACTCCCTTGTCTGCCCTCTTTAGGCGTTCCGGCCAAATAAGTCCTGAGGAGCCGGAGCACCAAAAGAGGATTCCGGGTTCATCCACTCTGCAGAGAGGGTGGAGGGGTTTCCTGGGTTTTATCTTTCCAGTTTAGTATAGTTTTAGAATAAATAAATCATTTGTAAATTTAAATAATAATAATAAAAAGAGTGTAAAAGCACTACTTTAATTATTGCTGTAGGGCTGCAGTTAGTATTGCTTAATTACTGTCATATGCTATAAAAGCAGGCCACCAACTCTGAACAGAGAGAGTGTTGCATGACATGCTGTCCAATGTAAATAAACCTGCACCCTGGGTGTGCACTTTGTTCCTCCAACATCTTCATAAGTGCCATCCTGACATGACAAGTGTCACAATCTTCAATAAATTTTGTTCTAAAAGGGGCGTGGTCACCAAAATCTCAGTTATAATCAATAATTAACATATCTAAGTACTGCAACCTTTGTTTGCAGCATTTATCTCTTTGTTACATTTTTATGATTAATTATCAATCTTCAATAGCTTTTGTTCTAAAAAGGGGGCGTGGTCACCAAATTCTTCAGAATGTGATAAGAGAGCAGTGTTGTGTCCATTGCACAATGGTATGTGATATTTGATAATTGTATATACTATGTGTATTTGCATATTACTCATAAAATAATGAAATGTAATTCCTGTTATTTATTTATTTATTTTATTTATTTGAAAAGGAGGGACAATACATATTAATGAACATTTTCACAAATGTAAATATGCCAGATTATAGCCTTAGGCTAATTTCCATCTGCAGACCCCCTGGCAGGTTGGTGTTAAGCATAGGTTAGTAAAAACATACAGAGACACTATATACAGACTATGTACAGAGAGACAAGGACGAGTACAGTGATCACTTGTTAGAACAAACAATAAAAAGAGTGGACAACAAAGGACAATATAGAAAAACAGTAACGGGAAAGCATCGACTGTATTGCACAAACCCCAATATTGCACATAACCTGACAGACCCAATATTGCACTGACCCATATTGCACTGACCCGCATTACACTAACCCCCATTGTATAACCCATGCCCAACAGACTCCCATTGCACAGCCCGTATGACACTGATAATTGCATCCCCTTTTGTAACCATCATCATTAACTAAACATGATCACATGTTTGTGTGTCCCTCAGCCACACTTTTAAATGACTCCTAAAGGTAGGGAGACTTGTGCTTTCCCTCACAGACAGTGGAATACTATTCCAGAAGCTCACTCCCTGATATGACAGGACATTCTGTGAAAAGCTGGTCCGCCTAAATGACAATTCACACAATGGCTCGAGTCACTTCGGCACAGTGGCTCGAGTCACTCGAGACTAAAATTTGACAATGGTGGTATGATGAAGGTTTCTTGCACTCTTTTGTAGACTTGGCCCAATAGCAGCATGACTCGTATAGGACCAACTTTGTTTAATATGAGCCAGTAAAGAGTCAGGAATGTAATCGCTGCTGTATCCGTTAATGATGTTCGAATATGTCTGAAGTTCCGTATATTAACATTTACAGTTTTCACTACTTTTTTAATGTGTTTTTTGAAGGATAATTTTGAGTCTATTAGCACTCCTAGATACCTAAATTCCTCAACATTAGTTAATTCTTGTCCCACCCAAGAAAACTTTTACTGCGGCCACTGTTGTTTTAGGTTTACTAAAAAACATTGATACAGTCTTTTTAACATTAAGGCACAGGCATGAATCATTCAGCCATTTTGTAGATCATTTAAGGCTATTGAGAGCTGATGGGCTGCATCATGTTACAATAGAACATTATTTTATCTCCGTAGCAGTGGAACTGGACCACATCCAGCTTTGTGGAATCAGCTTCAACACCACTGACAAACCCATGAGATATTTTAATTATTGGT